ATTTTGAATTTTTTTTATTTAATAGTTTTAGGTTAGTTTATAGGATGGAACAGCCTAGATGGACCAATAGATCCATTGTTTGTTGTCACTAAACATTATGTTATGTTATACCATTCATTCTTGGTATACCTTTGTACTGACAATGGGCTAAGTAACATTATTTTTTAATAAACATTTTTACACTATTTACATTGAGAACAAAAACAACAATAGGGACTTTTTTAAAAAAGGTATTCACTTTGTAATCAAACACTTTGAAATTTACTCAGACAGGAAAAGCTGTCAAAATCGTTTGTACTTTTTAGATAGAAATATATTACTTTGAGAAACTCAAAATGGTGTAATCATATGGATATAATGCATAAAATTTGCTTAAACTATGAAATAGAAAAAAAAGAAAATACACTGAATGTTCAAAATGAACAAGTTAAAAGTTTTCATACAGAATATATATTCCTTGTTGTCATTATTTTACTTACACTGGGAAAAATATTTGAGAAAAATGAATTTTCTTGGGGATCTGAGGGCTTTTTATCTCTACAAATATTAATTTTTCTCAAATGTTTTTAATAGTATACCAACTTAACATTATCATCTGTATGCACATGTTTAGAGAAAAGTGTCAGAAAAAGAAACACAGAATTGGAAATTTCAAGCTGAATGGCATCTTATGGATATGTGAGCTAAATGGTCAGATCAGAGATCCCCTACAATTCAGATACATTCATCCCTAATTTTGGGCCACTGATCAGATGGAAGGAAGTGAGTCAGAACCACCTGACATCATAAACTATAACCAGCTTTTCTGAACAAAATAATAGGACTGACTGTCACTTTTATAATGCACCCACAGTTGTATATGTGGTTCATGCATATTCTATGGCATTACATCTTGAACCCCGGGATACTTTTATCTCATACCCAACATACTATCACAAAGCAGGCATAAACTTGGGTTGATTGAAGTGTATTAATGTGTTTCCATAAAAAAGAAAAACAAAATTAGACTACTGCAACATTACATAAAGTGGATGCATTTCAACATCCTAACATCATTTTGTTATTCTGTTTAACTAGTGCATATAAAAACTAACAACGTATTTAACACCAACAGTTCTATTTTTAAAACTATGAAGAGTTAGTGTAAGAAATGTATGTGGAACTGAATCATATTTTAAGTAAGTTTAATAGTAACTTTAACTATTCCATGCTTGAATTGGACCTGAAGCTAGCTTAATTGTGTGTAGCAGATAAGTGATTAAGTTATAAACAATGATGAATCTCATGATTTCTTACAATATGCATTCCATAGTACTTTTTAAGAATTTATTTTATTATTAATTATATTTACTCCATACTATATTAGGTTTGGCAGTTGAAATATATGTATTACTATGTACCATACCTAATGTGTACATAATCTGTTTTAAGAATATATATATATTATATAAACTTGCACATCGGGAAGTCTAGTGAGCAATAGTGTTTCTGATTTCCATATATTTGAGCACATAATGGAGGTTATTTTAAGGTGTAAATGTGCACAAAATTAAGCCTCTTTGAAGTTTGTTACTTTCATAAAAACTCTACAAAATATCACAGTTGACAATAACTAGTTTATGATCAGAACAGTTCTATTTCTATATAGACTTTTTAATAATATATATATCTGTGCGTGCTTATTTATCTGTTTACATTACAGATCTTAATGTGATGATATTGAATAGTCTGAGTTCTCATGAATTGAAGAGGTATTGAATATTCTCCCAAATGGACGAGTTTTGTTATGGAAGGAGTTGAAAAAAATACAGTTCTTTATATAAATATTTGAATACTTTGAAGATAACACCAAAACAAGACCAATAAATTAAAAAATGTGATAATATTGCTAAAACCAGTATAAATTAAAAGTATAACAATGCTTTCCTCTCAATGCATATACATTACTAATGTCAATACTGAATAGGAGAAATGTAGTACTGAATTATCACATGAAAATAGGTCATTTTCGAGGAGTAGTTTACAGCACGACACATATAATTATATAACATTACCTTCCTACATACATACTATGAAAAATTAGGAAGATATTTATCTCTCTTTGCACGTTGATTGTTTTCATCTGTTGTCTGTTTGGCTAGTTGAATTGTAAAATTATTCAGAATTATGAAGTTTCACATTCAGTGGATTATCACAGCTCAAAACATTTTGTCATGGAAATTAGTTGTCTGAAACATACTATCTGATGTATGCTATGTACAAACACTGGTCCTATGCTACTAAACCTAGAACATTTTATTAAGCATAGAAAATCTCTAAAATTCACAAGAAGAAAATAATATAGAGACTCACCTCCAAAAGCAAATAACTGATCTCTAAAAAAACTAAAAAAATTGTGATTATAAAACTTGAAACTTAGCTAAATAAATCCAAGCAAGATTTGTTCAACAATGAATAAGGAAATGAATCAACTACTCCAAGGATTTATGAACACTACATTTTTGTAAAATTCAATTCATACTGTGTTAAGATATTAGCCAATTATTTAGATAACTAACTCCATCCCTTAACTAAAATCAAAATCTTTTACATTAGAAGTAAACAAAAAAAACATTCATTTAAGGTGAGTTAAAGCAGTATATAAGGGGAATTGCTAGGCATTGGAACCTGGGCTCCATACTCTGATTCTATTTGTCAGTGCCCCAGGTTCATAGTTGATGTCTAAAAAAATTGAAATAGAAAACCACGATTGATATAATAACAAAACACCAAAAAATTCCTGCACCTGTGTGGCTGAGCCCCGAATCTTTTAAGCACCTAACGACACTTCTGCAGTATATTCAGCATGCGAACTTTGTTCTTAGGTCAGTTTTGTGTTGAGTTCAAAAAATAAAATTCAGCTACACTTAGTCTGAAGAAGATGTGTTTGACAGAAATGAAACTTCTAAGAAACATACTCCAAGAGTAGAATCATACGTTAATCATTACTTACAAAACTACATAGTTAAAGTTGTAGTTGCTGAACAATTTTAAGTTTTCAAGGAGGTTCCTCAGTCTCCAGCATTTGATACTTGCCTATTTCATGGTCAGTGGCCCTAAAGGATACGTGAAACTGCAGGAGAGGACCTCAAGACATTTCACATAATGCCTTTAATAAGTAATGTTCTTTTTAGCCTTGTGTACATTCCTTTCTTTTTACTTAAGGGCTCATAAGGATATTTAAGAACTATACAACTTACTGGAAAAATTTGAATGAAAAGCAGTAACTAAACAAGGTGAATAATTATTTTACGAATTCTTCCTGCCTTTTCTTTTGGTTTTTCCAAACATGTTTCAATCTTTCTTTCACATCAATCATGAAGGCTGCAACATCATAAAGAAAGCCAATAATGTGACAGAAAAAAACTCAAGCCCTATCACCATGTCACCCTTGAGAGAAGATGTAAATCCACATTTACAATGTAGTTTAGAGACAAACATCTTCACAATACTTACATTTTCATAGACCAAAACAGGATAATTGGAAGATTCTTACTTAAGTGTTTAGTATATCATATGTTCCAAAGTTTATAATATATAAATCTAATGCATAGTATTTTAATAATCTTAGATCCTTTTGTTAGCTATGACAACATATTACTGATATTCTATTTCACATAGTATACCCCCCCCCCCAAAAAAAATAAAAAAATCACAGAAATCTCTTTGGCCAATAATCCTGTTTAATATCATTGCAGTTTTGAAAATTTGAATTATTTACCAAAGCATATAGGATATGTCTGGTTATCAAATTCTGCCATTATTTTTGATAAAGAATTTTCTCCTAATATGTATAAGGATTTCAAAATCTTGGTGGTACAACTCATCTTGTTTGACCAAGTGCACTTACCTCTTCATTTGTAAAAAAAGAAAAGAAAAACTATATGTGTACAAAGACTTTGTGAAAACAAATAATTTTCCAAACATGATTTGTTTACATTTTTCATGCAACCTTCATCACCTGTACCTATATATGAGAGATAAAGGAGCTTAGAGTAAACTCTGAATAACAGTTTGGAATGTTTAATAATGATCATTCTTCCATTTATATATATAACTGCAGACATATTCATATCATAGCCAAAAGGCAAACAGACTACAGAAGCAATGGGCTTTTTGCTGTCTAGTTTCTACCTGCCTTTTTGTAAATACAAAGAACTATATGTACCTTCCTACATCATGGACAATACTGGCCATTAATAAATAATAAGAAACTCCATAAATGAGGCCTGACATAGAAGAGAAAAGAAAGTGATTTAAAAATCTAATCTATATAAAATCCAGTGTGTGTCATGTCACACTTAATTTCTCAAAATAGGAGGAGTCATAAAAGCCAAAATGCATTTATCCAGATAGAATAGTTTGATTACTGTCTACCCCTTATGATTTTAGTGACAGGGTTACAAAGGGGCCATGAGGGTGTGTGTTGTGAAATCTTATAAGTGTAGTGAGTGTTGGTGTAATAAGTCTAAAGTAAAGACGTAGTGTGGGATCACCTAGCCTAGAGCCAGATGCTAAAATTGATCATGAAAGTAAAGATATTGATTCAAATTTAAACTTAAATAGTTTGTGAATTAATGTATTTAATAAAATAAAAAACAAACCTCTTTAATCAATAGAGACTCTAAAATTAAGAAATCAACAAATATTTTTCCAGTTTTGTTATCTATACATTTCACTTTATACTTTCAGTATATAGACTAATAATATTAGGTTATACTTACATTGCTAAGCAACATGACATAAAAGCCATTGTTGGAACATAGTGTTACCAAAACACTGGCTTTTTACCAATAACTATTCTATGAATAGGTTACGGATTCATTTCATGAATGATCTTAACTTTGGTTGGCTCACAAAGGAATTTACCGACATTTGATTGCCTCGACTGCACTTTTCTGCCTCTCTGTTGGTCAAACTTGATTTTGCAAAATATATTTATTTCAGTTAGCTATCAAATGTGAGGTTAGGGTATACTATGGTGTGGTGGTGGTAGTTCTTTTCCCTCCATTTTTAAATATTATCGACTTAGATACAGTGTTGTAGTATCACCTTCGCATTTGTTTGAAAGTACTGGAGGTATGGCATTAAACATCCTAATTTTTCATGTGGGATAGGTAACTGTCATATGGTCCAATCTAAAACATCATTCTTAGTTTTGTTCTTATTTCTTCTCTCCTTTATCTTCAATTCAAAGCTGCTAGGGAGAGCATTTAGACGACTGGGTTTTTGAGATTCAGAATCTGATAAACAAAGGGCTTGTAAGGAGTTTGATAGATTACCATTGAGCTTGGGGCATTTAAGTCCTCTGAAGGCTTCTCTATTTGAACCTGCATTCAGAAAATTACAGCTTTTTTCTTGAGAAGCTTGGAGAAAAAATAAAAATATTATTAACTCCAATTGCCAATCAAAGACAATTAATAATATAACACTGTAGCATATATAAACTATTTTAAATTAAATCATCCAAAGTAGTATGTTGAATTGAACAAAAAATACCACCACCATCTGCATAAAAAATGAAATGTTGATTTAATAATTAAAATACTGAAAGAAAGATTAACTTACGAAAAACTTGGCTAGCATCTGTCTGAACCTTGTTGAGCAACTGTTCTTGTCTTGTAAATTTGAAATATGAACCAGCAATATCTTCTTGTTCTCCTCGCTCCAGTTTCTGTAAGTGGAAAAGTATCCATAGTTAAACACTCATTTTTTTAGGTTCTTAAATTTTTCTTAACTCAGTTTTCAGTTCTTTTATAAATAGTTAATTTTTTGAAATAAAAGAGAGATAAGAAAACCCTTGTTTTTGGCTAGTAGAACAGAAAAATTTCCGTATGTTGAACCAAAAAAACAAATCTTACTTCTTTTCTTCAGTAACAAAACATATATATGTTTATCTATACCTTAAGTACTGTTACCTTTAGCAGTTTGTCATCAGTAGATTGTCTGAAGGAGCTTGATTCTATATGAGTGGGAGCAGACTGGACACTAGGTTGAGGTACATGTAACTCAGACTGGATACCTTTATAAATATGAGAAATACTACATTGTTTATGCATCACTGTTTAGCTGCAAGGGAGTTTAACATTATGTGATGTGTGTGGCCTTATTATCTGGAACTTTTTCCAAAGTTTAGGAAACAATTTGAGTCATATAAAAAAGTGTGTTAGGCTAGAGAAGTTATTGGGCAAGTTTATTAGTCAAATGAATGTGTAGTTAAGCACATGACTTAGTCAGCTTGTCTATTACTGTCAGCTACTTAGTCTGTTAGTTAGATCAGTTCAGTATCGAGTTTGTATTGACAAAGAAACAAACGTAAAATTAGCAAGTAAAAAGAATTTATCTCCAGATATAGTTAATTTCTGAAGTTAGGCCTTTCGGAAAATGTTTATTATGCTAACTGTGGAACCTGAAGTTTCAAGAATTAAAATAATTTTCTTAACATTTAGTGGACTAGACTTGGGATTATTTTTTTTTTTATGAATAAACTCAAAGAAGCTGGCCAACAACAGAAATCATTACAACAGTATAATTTTAATATTTTCTTTTTCATTGTGTTTTATAGCAGCCTTATATACAAGTAATTTATATTTAATGTAATTATGATGAAATTCGATGCCTATAAACTTGAAAATATTGAAAAATTATTCATATACAATTTTTAGCAACAAATTTTAGAAGTAGAACATTTAACATGGAGAACCAAATAGCTATATGTTCATATTGTTACAACAGCGGAAGTCGCGTGATTCTGGGAGCATGCTCGCTACAGTTTCTCGAAGGATTGTGAATTATCAGGGAGGTCCGAGTTTGTTCGAGGCACCCTCTTTTTTTAGTATATAAGCCCGGTGATAAAACCAGCACAATTGCAGAGATAGATAATTGAGTCAAGCAAATAGTAGGCACCGTAAGTAAAGTGTGTGAATCACTGTGATTTATAGC